CATCTCGACAGCAGCGGCATCCGCTGCTGCTTCGTCGATATATATAGTAGTTATCGTGACAATGCTGCAGAATTTGTTGTAAGAACAATGTCAACAACTATCAGTACCGAAATTAACTCGAAACAATCGCATAGAGGTGAATCGCCTATTTCGTGACAACACTGCAATGCAATATTGAAAATCATTCGTCCGACAACATAGAGGGTTGCCACTTAGTACAATTTCTTCAGACCGTCCGTGTTCATTGCCACTGGAGGCTGGCTTCGGGTGAAACGTTTCTCCGAATCGAGGTAAAAAGAACAATGGCCCGATGATGATGTTGCCTGCACCATGTTGTCTTCCTTGGTACCATCGAGACTTCCCTTGGTCAAGGAGAACCCAAAAAGTCTGCAGCTACTTTCACACGAGGAAGCTAATTCTCGGTTAGTCCGGAACGCAGGTTGAGCAGCCAGAGGTGGTGAATCGACGACAGAATCATTAGTATGACAAAACGAATCCATGGTAACATGATCCCTCCCACGAAATCATGTTCGACAATTGAAGCTGGTAGTAACTTCGTACGTATTTTCAGGGCCATTGAATCGGATTGCTTGCTTGTTGGAACATTTATACCGAAGACAGTGAGGAAACTTGAGCAAATGCAGCAGATGGTTGTATAGGACTATGAGTAGTATAACCCTGCGTTGAGGACGACCATCCACTTCGAGTCCCAAACAATTGACCAACATTAGGGATGACACTGGGACTTTCATTTCCTCGAGTCTCTTCCGCACTTGAGCCTTTTTCATACGGAGAGCTTACAAAAATTTCTTGACCTTGCAAGACCATCTGAAACCGGAAAGGTTCCGTAAAGTCGGATGCTCCAATTCCATATGTTAGAAGAAAGGACCAAATCAAATAAAGCTGCATGACACAGGAAAGAGATTTAGCAATGCAGAACCTATCAGGAACTATAAATTCTGGTTCTCCTGAAGGCAACCCAATCCTATTCCTTTTCGAATCGGGTGACTGCAAGTTGTTTGAACTACAAATAGAATCAGATGGTTCTATTTCCCAGGGAGAAACCCTGCCATGCTTGTTGGCGTCAATATCATCCCACCTTACCTACGAAAATGAGTCAGAAAGAACAATTAGGTTAGCTCTAGTAATACCACCTGTTGGTCCAACAGGATAAGATCCTTGGGGTTCGAATTCTGACATTGTGAATGAAAGAAACTGGTCAGAAGGGTTGCCCCATAATGGTCCGATAAATCGGAAACAATGAGGATATATCCAGTAAAAGATTTTCTCATAAGTAAGAAAGTATGCAAATACACCAACAAGCACCTCCATTTTGAACCAGGCCATCTAACAGGATCCAAATCGCTAATTCCCATTATGACTCCTATGTTTCTACCAAAGAAAAAAAGAAAAAGCAATTAAGGCCCTGATAGAACTGTGGTGTCAGTCTACCCTCTTCAGGCTAAAAACTATAGAATTTCAAGAGTTGCAGGTTCAATCAGGTCGCACCTTCGTTCTGCTGCATCTTCAATTTCAAACCGCATTTTGAACCTCATCCCAAAAGAAAAAGAGCTATCGAGACTCTTCCGGAATTTACGGATTGGTAATATGAACTCCAATGAACTAGCCCTGCTACACATCAATAAAATAGTTTTAAATTCTTTTACTCACTTTCGAATTGTGTCCTCTGAATATTGATTGTCACATATATGAATGGTGTAGATAGTAACGCACCTGTAGTAAATGCTGAAAACACTTTTTACAGATACAGCATGGACCACATCTACAAAAGTGTTGTGGTTCAATTGCTTGCTACACAAAGATGGAAAGGAAAGGCCATTTTTAATTTGGGCTACTCTTCCGATTCCCAGACTCAATTCTCCATACTCACCCCTGCCAGCAACACTAAACAAGATTCCAATAAGATATTAATTAGGCCTTATAGAAAGGGACGACTTCGAACCTAATAAAAAGCACAGCATCTCCAGAGACGAGCTTCTTCTTGTTTACAAAAGCACTCCATCCAGAAGTGAGAAAATGCCTCTGTGGTTGCCCTGCACAATCCGAAAAAGAGAAATGAACAGCTAATCAAGGCTTTGATCCAGAATTATCATCCATTAAATTTAGTGCATACCCCTAAAAATGTGTGGAAATCTCAATTCCATGCCGTGCAGATCTTTTGCAACAAGCTCCTGTGATGGCCTCTGCTTATTATAATCCTACAGATCCAATCAACTTAATCTCAAAAGGCTATACAGACGAGTACTTCACCTAAACATACCGAATTCTTTAAAGAGATACAGAAGAAATAAACAACAAAAATGTAGAATCAAATGGAGTGCAAGTGGCGTACCAAGGGAGTGAAGCAATCTTCAACAGCTCAACGAGGAATGGAGATGCCTCCATGAGTACTGGTATCAGAAGCGGTAAGGGTCTTGCAGAACATGTGCGGTGTGGTTGACTTAATATCTGCTTCGGCATCCTCCTCGTCACCGTCTGCCTCCATCTTCCCGTTTTGCAACATCGGCTCAATTTGCTGCATTGCAAAGCTTACATAAAATCAGACCCAAAATTTCAAAATCACCTTGAAACCAAATGAGAAGTACATAAAAAACAACAAAATGATGAATCAATTTTTTTTAAAGAAAAGAGATTAAATTCATCACCACACAATGATTTCTAATTCATAATGATGTCATTGTCCTATCCCTATCAAGTTAAAGAAAATGAAGCACCTAAGGTGAAGACAACCATCAGGTAAACAATAGAATAAAGCTCACCTCATTTTCAGGAACCAGTGAAACTTGAGCACAAACCTCGTCCGTGGAACCCTCAGCCTGCCAACAAAAACAAACATTTTCATAGCGATGGAAAACCAAAAGCAAATAATAATTAAAACCAACAAAACCACAAAATTATTATAAAAAAAATCCAAACTTCAAAGCTCTCCCCTTTAAAAAACATGTAGCTAAGCTTACATGGAGCTTGACATCAACAACCCGACAAAGCACATGAGGGGGAAGATCATATACTGAAGCTAAGCCTGAAAAACCGGGAACTTGTTCCAAGTGTCCCTGAGGGAAGTACACCACTAAACTTCCTCTCTTTGGCAAAGATATAAGTGGACCAGCACAAGCATGCCAAAGCTCTAAACAAATTGAAGAACTAAAACCAGAAGCGCTTAGCACCGAAGATGGAGATAAAGAACAGCATGACGGCAATTCATCCTCCTCGCTCGTGTTCAGATCGATTAAACACCCCATTGAACAGTAAAAAAAAAAACCGGTTTCTCGGTAAGGTGAAGGAAAGCTTCAGTTTTTGCACTGGAAGTGAGTTATGAAGGAGAAGATATTTCATAGCTGCATATTTAGAGTCTGATTTTCCAAGATGCAACTTTGGCATAAAAAGGGAGAAGTTCTGAAAAAGAAACCAAAGGAGAAACCTTGTTTGTGTAATGGTTAATGGGGTTTAATCATAATTAAAAATTGAAGAACAACATTAGATGTGTTGCACTGGAAGTGAGTTATGAAGGAGAAGATATGTCATGGCTGCATGTTTAGAGACTGGTTTTCTAAGGTGCAACTTTGGCATAAAAAGGGAGAAGCTCTGAAAAAGAAACCAAAAGAGAAACCTTTCTTGTGTAAGGGTTGATGGGGTTTAATCATAATTAAAAATTGAAGAACAACATTAGATTTGTAATTACTTTTAATTAGATATGTACATATAAAATTAATTCATCCTATTTTTATATTTAATAGGATGAGGAGAGGTAAATAATAGGTTGTCCCTAACGTCAGATTGAGAGTAATTTTTGTAGAAGACCTTCGATAAATAAAATTATTAATTATCTATCATAAGACTTGATCCCAAAATCACAAAATTAAAAACTTATGCTCTATCAATCGAATCGAGTTGAGTGGCAATTGTAAGAGTACATTATATATATGTGGAAAGGTTGTTGCTTTTTGATGTTTTTACTTATTCTTGAGTGAAAGCTGTACACCAGTAGAAGCAGTGCTTCATCCGCTGGCTGCTGCAATGCTGCGAGACTGCTGTCTGCTGCAAGTGATGTGTGGCAGAAAGAGGGAGAGAAACAGTGAAAGACTAACTGGATTTTGATTTATTTTAAGTTCTGGTTATAAAATACAAAAATAGGGTAAACTATATCTATTGGTCACTGAACCTTTAACTACATATAATTTTGTTACCAATTTTTAAAATTTTACATTACCATCATATAACTTTCCATTCATTCTCTTTAGTATCATTGTTGTTGTTAATCATCATTAAGAAAACTGGCATGTCACATTAAAATCTTCTTCTAAAAGAGTTTCTAAAAATTCTAATATTTGATTTTTCTAAATCGACTATACTAACATTCTCGAACTATGATCTATATTTTAAATCGATTCTCAAAATTTTAAATATTTTTAATCGAGTCTTCAAAAATATCAATTAGGTCATTTTGTCATCATATATATTATTTTAACCATCCATAATGTATAAAAATTTAACCTACTAACTTGAATAGTTAAAATATACTTAATTGAATCAAACATAACTTCTAGTTATCTCTTGTTCCCATATGTAATGGGGTAATGGGATATAAGATAGTAGACTGCCCCCAACACTAGGTTGAGAGCAGCTTCCGTAGGAGACCTCCAAATTATGAAATGACCTCCATGAGACTCGATCTCATGACTTCGATCAGTTTAATTAGTTAATCGAACTACTTGGATTTTAAAATTGGATTGAGTTTAGATAATTTAAATTATTAATTGTATAATATATTTATTATAATATATATAAATCACACTTGAACTACATTTAACATCTAATTTAATGATTAAACTGACGAAAGGAACTTGTAAAAGTTGGGGGTGTTATGTAAAATAACGTCTCATTGAACTGGTCGGTTAACATGGGCTTATTTGAACGGCCACGATCATTTTCTCCCCAAAAATCACAGCCCCATAAATGAAGAAAATAGACGGAAGATGCCCAGATTCCAAAATTACGAATCCTTTTTCTCTGTTTTAGGGCTTATCGCAGAGACCTAAATCGCGTTTTGTCGTCCCTTCAATCCGTTCGAGTGTAAGCACCTTTTTCCTTACTGGGTTTATCTTGGATCAGTGGCAGGGGTAAGATGCCATGTGAAAAATTCATGAATTCGCTTTCTTACCCGAATGAACGCTAAAGGATTATTCGTTGAATGTTTTCAGGTTACAGTTAATCCCCATTACTCACTACATGTCTAAAGCTCAAGATCCATTTTATATCGTCAAAGAAGAGATTCAAGAATCTGTATGTTGGGTCTTTTTTCTTATCTTTTCATTTTTTGTCTTTTGGGGGATTTTCCATTAGTTGATGTTTTGGGTGTTTTGGTTCAGATTGATAAATTGCAATCAAGTTTTCACCAATGGGAGAGGATTCGTCCTGACGACGAAGAACGAGTACATCTCACAAAAGAGCTACTTGCTAATTGTGAGAGCATTGAGTGGCAGGTATTTGATTTTAAGTTTTCTCACTATGTTTAGAATGTATTTTTGGTATGGGAAAAATACTATGTTGGAATGATGTGTTTTACGTTGTGTTTATCTATTAATCGAATAATTTTTTTATCCAATTTGACATTGCTAACATGATTACTTTCTTGATAGGAAGGTAGATGAATTGGACAAAGCGATTTCTGTGGCAGCTAGGGATCCATCATGGTATGGCATTGATGAAGTGGAACTTGAAAGCCGAAGGAGATGGACCAGCAATGCCCGAACTCAGGTACCGTCTTTATTGTTTCTAAATATTATCTAAGAGTGAGTATTTCAGTAATGTTTATGTGCTATGTAGTCCGGTGCCACTTTCTCCTGTTATTATAAATTGATGGATTTTCGGTCGGTGAAAATTTTGGGTTTTGTGACACACGATGAATATTATGGGTTATGGATCCTTTGTTAGAGTGTATTTTGTTTGATCAGGCGGGAGATGTGAAGAAAGCTGTAGTAGCCAGAAAGGAAACTGGTAATACTGCAAGTGCAATGCACCGAGAATTGATGAGACTTCCAAATTCTCATCAGGCAGATAGATCCAACCTGTATAGCGCAGAAGATAATGATGACTTTATAGCATCGGAATCAGATAGACAAATGCTTCTCATAAAGTAGAGTTTTCTTTGCTGAACTTGTTTCATCAACATGCTTCCCTGTCCGATTTTACTAGTTTCTTATTTTTTTTCAATCGATGGTTGTAGACAGCAGGATGAGGAGTTGGATGAGCTTAGTGCTAGTGTCGAGAGAATAGGAGGTGTCGGGCTTACTATACATGAAGAACTTCTTGCACAGGTGAGTACTTGTATCTTCCCTGTAATTCCCCTGCCTCAATCACTATGGTTGACCATATACCGAATTTTTAAAGCCATCACAATCGATATGTTCGTACGCTAATATTTGAATCCCTTGGGTTTTCAGGAGAGGATAATAGATGATTTAGGTAATGAAATGGACAGCACGACAAACCGATTAGATTTTGTTCAGGTGATTCCCTCAATGCGATTGCATAGATATAAAGCAAATCCTATCCATGATCTGAAAGTAACATATTCAGGCTTTTGCCTTGAGCTTGTCTCGAATATTTAGTTTGATGAAAATTTCTTCATTTTTTTTCTTTGCAGAAAAAGGTTGCTATGGTTATGAAGAAGGCCGGTGCTAAGGGACAGTGTATGATGATATTATTTTTGCTAGTTTTGTTCATTATTCTATTCATTCTGGTCTTCTTCACTTGAGACCGGAGAGAAGGGTTAGTCTTTATGATGTTCATATGTGGAAGTGGTCTGATATTGGAAATAAACCGTGGGAGTTGTAAAGAATAGAGTTGTGTTGTTGATCTTTAGTGATGAAAACAACAACAACAACGAGAATGAAGAAAATTGTGTGTTTTGTGTGTTTCTGAAGAATTGTGGAACTTGGTTAGGATTACATGTAAGACAGACATATATTGTTACTGTTTGCTCCTTTACAAAGAATTGTTTCTTATCTTATTGTCTATGGCTAAATATAGAAGGCTTGCTAATGTCATGTGGCATCATATATTTTTTGTTTACCTTTGTGTTCTTCTTAAGATCTTGGCTAAACTACACTATTAGTCATTGAGCTTTTAAGTCATTTTCATTTTGATCATTGAAATTTAAAAACTTTCATTGAAGTTACTATTGCTAAGTAAGTTTTTTATTTTGGTCATTAGATGTTAAATTATTAACGACAACTGACTTCACATGCTCACATGTTTACGATAATGGAGTCTTTCATGTCAATAACCTTCGATATTAATATTTCTTATTTTCCAACAAATATATTAATTATGATATAGTTTCAAAGATAATATATGAGTATGTTTTAATATTAATTATAATATAAGTTAAAAATATATATTAATTTTATAGTTTTTTTTGGGATAATCTAATATTATTATAATTTATTTTATTAAAACAAAAGATTAATAAATAAGAAGAGTAAAAAGTAATAATAAATATATTAATTATAAAATACTATAAAAAGTATATTTATAATATTAATTAAAAAATATATTAATGTTTAAGTTTCAAATAATATAAAATAAAATAATAAATAATAATTATTCTATGTGACTTAATTTATTGCTGTTAACCGTCATGCCATGAGAAATTTAACTGAATTAACAGAAAGTGCCAAAAGCTTTAATAAGTTTGAGTAAAGTACACAAATGGCCTCTTGATTATAGGGTACTATTTTGTTAAGTCCTCCAACTAATAAAAGTTATAAAATGGTCCCTTAATAATAGAAAGTTGCTTTGTTGAGTCCTTCGATTATTAAAAGTTACAAAATAACCACTCAATTATTCATTATGTTCTAAAATTATAATTTTTCGTTAAAAAATTAACGATAATCTGAGATGGATGTTAATATGATGATTGATATATGATAAAGTTTGATCTCATAATCTCAAACGACTATCATGTCTCAGTCAGTATGTTAATGTCTAGTTGAGACGATCGTTAATTCTTTAACAGAATATGACGAGTTTGGAATATAATGAATAATCAAGTAACTGTTTTGTAAATTTTAATAGTCGACAGACTCAACAAAACAACTCCATAGAGTTGTTGAACTATTTTATAACTTTTAATAGTATGAAGACTCAATAAAGTAATATCGGGTGTACTTTACCCTAAATTTATCATATACAAGTTTCTATATGCCGGGGTTTTTAATTTTTTTTTTGGCATGTGAATGATTTGGAAATCTGAAAGATTTCTTATTGCCAACCAATAGCAAAAGCGCAAGGGAACTCAAGGTGTGATCGAGGTCAACAACCCTAATTTGGTGAAGCCAAAGAGCTTGAAAGCTAGAAAAGCAGGGGAAAACAGAACAAGCAAGGAAAGACTTGGGTAAGTCCACTAGATATTGCTTTACCTCTTATCTAACCTCCCTTGTCACACGGCTTACTGATCGTGTAAAGTTACTCGAATGGCTTAAGCACTGCAACATAATCATACATTGCCCCTATCAACTCCAGTTGAAGGGCTAATTCACATATGTTTTTTTTTTCTAGTTAGGTAGATGTTAGAGGAGTTGAATTCCGTAGGTTATAAAGTTAAAATGCTTGAAGAGGCTGTAGTTGTTGCGCATTATACCCAGCAGATATGTTTCCCTATGGGGGGATGAACACGCTGTGAGCTTTTAAAATCTTAATCATATGAAATCGCTTCCACATACCAACCTACATGCAAATGTTATGATTCTGCTTTGTGCGGCAATAAGAGATTATATCATGTGGGGTTTAGCGTACTGCCAATTTTCCTTGAAAAGAACAAAAGAAAGAACGATTAACTCGGAACTGTGGTAATACAGAACGCCTAGCCCATATTCGTCAACAGAGAGAAGAAGCTACTAAAAAACGAGAGGAAGAAAAAGCTGGTAAGAATCTGGAGCCGCAGCTGTTATTACCGAACTTTTTTTTGAGTTGTCGAGATCGATGAACATTTATAGTGAATTTGTTTCAGCGAGGGAGCAGAAGAAGCTCGAAGCTCGAAAATGACATTCCTTATTGCAAAGCTTCATATACAGCAAGTGTTTCTTCCAGTAGATGATTATATGGGTGCTTTCTACAATTTAGCTACAGTTGGTTTATATTCAAAGACTGGTCTTTTGTTATTTTATTTTTCGTTAAAATGTGATGTTTTTTTTAATGAAAGTGAATGTGAACTTGTAAAAAATTCTTTCGGTTTTCTGATAAGTGTTTTTGAGTGTAATAATAATCAATTTTCAAAGGAAAGTACATGATCTTCGGCTGCAAGATTTTCTCTTTGGTTTTGGTGGCCTCAAAGCTACCTTTATTGCAGCATCGAACACTTCCTTCACGTTCTGAAGAAACAGAAGAAAGGCAAAATCAAGCCTTTTAAACACTTCCAATTCTACATTACCATTGAATTTCACTGAGGTTACCTGTTGTGTTTTGGAAATGAATTCAATGTAAGTAATTGCTCCTATTATCTTCTTCAGCTCCTCTCCCTGCTCACCCAGTTTTCACGTTGATTCTCAGCATTAGTTGGAACAATATCTATGAACATTTACGCCTCGACCGGAAACCTCTGTGTGTCGTGATAATTTATGTTATTTAACTTATCTGAGAAGTTGATATTGCTGTTGATCCTGGGTGATCCTTCGGCTTCGAGTACTGCTTGTCACCTCTCAGATCTGCATTCGATTAGAGAGTAAAATGAAAAACAACAACAAGATGTTGTTGTGTAATGATGATGGGGATAGACCATAGACTAGATTACCTAGTTTGGTTCCAACGAGCACAAATGGTACATTAGGAGCATAATGTCTTAGCTTAGGGATCCACTGTAAGCCATGAAACAAAGCATTTTATGTCAATGTCGATGAAAAATAACAAAAGAAACTGGGAATTATAGCACCAAAACTTAACCTTTTTGTAGATGTTTTCATAACTGGCCTTGCTTATCAGAGAAAACGCCAGCAAAAACACGTCAGCTCCTCTATAACTAAGAGGCCTCAGCCTGTTGTAATCTTCTTGCCCTGAAATTTCACAGGTCACAAAATTGATTTGAACAATCGGTAACTCCTGTAAAAACTCACCGGCAGTGTCCCATAGGCCAAGGTTCACTGTGTTACCGTCGACCACCACATTGGCACTAAAGTTATCAAACACTGTTGGAACGTAATCCTATCACAAAAAGGAAACAAACAAGACCCAGTTCATTAATCATCACTTTTAATCACCATGCAAAATAATCCATAGCTCCCCCATCGCTGTACCGTTGGAAAAGTGTTGCTGGTGTATGAAATGAGCATGCAAGTCTTCCCCACCGCTCCGTCCCCGACTGTAACACACTTGATGAATCTCGCCGTGCTCATTTCTTTCTTGTTGTTTCGAATGAGCCTTGATTCGGTTCCCACAAAATCTGTTGTTATAAACAACTGGGAGACAGTGAAGTATGAAAAGAAATGGATGGCCGAGGGCCGACATTTTAACAGCTTTGCTACGAGAAACAACAAACTTTAACTGCTTGAGACCCGATATGGAATGATTACAGGGTGGGTTTTCTTAAGTGCAAGGACGCGGCTAGAAATAGGTGACCATTAAAGTGCGATTGGTGCTGCTGGTGTTGGTTGGTTTAAGTGTTGAGGAAGGGAGAACATCTGATTTGATGGGATTAATGATTATTATTTTGACGGTAATTGCTTGACCAGACGACAAACCATGATGTGATTAATAACAAATAGAGAGAAATTTTAGCATCTTTCTCCGAGTTCTTGTTTAGTTAACACTTACACTAATTTGCTGCATGTTGTCTTAAACAAGTGCATTTGTACATCTCATGTTGTAGGGAAATATTCTCTTGGAAAAGAATCACTATTTGCAGCAGCTGTGATCATTTCAACCTCATAGCAAGTACGTTACTAATTTGCTTGGCCATACTGTATTTAAATGACAAAGACATCATTGAACTTATTTGGTTGCACTTAGCTCTATTGTCATCAAACATTGCAATTGCGACTTTGGTAGGAGCAGGCCACCGGAGCTTAAACCCCCCCCTAAAAAAAACTGATTCGAGTCAGTGTCTCGTTCTGCTTACAGTTTTGGTCTATTGAATTTAGTTCGATTTTGATTTGGTTTGTACTTAAACTTGTGTACAACCATGAAGCCATCTAAAAAAATCTATTGTGACAAATTCTACAAAGATTTGCCAACAAGATAGTGTATTCAATCCACTAATTTAGGATTCTTCTGCCACTCCAGTTGTATTCCTGAAATGGTTCAACCTTGTTTTAGTATGTAGAACTCAACTGTGAGCATTAGGCATGATAATAACCGTGTTTATTACTCAATCACAGATACCACTGAGGTTAGTGATACTCACTTCGATAGTTGTGATGAATCCAACTGCATCGTTACTGGTCCATCGTTGACCAAACTAACCTGTAAATAAGTATGATGATCCGAGTCAAAATACACCCTGAATAACGTTTCTACTAAGAAAGCAAGAGAATTGAAACTTTGGTGAGAGGGACAGTGTGAAGTCTCACCTTCATCATCGCTCCAAATATTCCATCTACACCAAATGACCAAAACGAGTCAAAACAACTTTAAACACATTAGTCATCATCAATCAAATGAATTATGCAATGTTTGAGACCATCTTTTACTCTAAGAAAACTAGGAATGGACACAACATCTCAAGTTACCTACTTGATCGTTCAGAAAACAACTAATCGAATACTTTGAAAGAATCGAAATGCTCATATTCAAGTCTTGATTGACACTGGACCTAAGGTTAGAATCTAAACATGCATGCGTTCACAAATGATATAAAATTTACTTAAAAGAATGAACAAAAAATCATTTACAAATCAACCAATGAATAGATGGAATGGAGGGTAAATGGGATTAACCTTTTACTGCATCTGGTTTATAAGCTTTTCTGAATTTCTCAATTAAAGACTCATAGAAAGGCTTAGCTTTCTGTGGTGGCATTGCAACATGGAAGTCTGGTTTGTTACCCTTCAAGAATCCATACAATGTAAATTGACTCACTGCAGTGCCCCAAACAACTTCAGAATTCATAAAGCAAGAAACAATGAAAAAAATATATCCATTAAGCATCAAATTTACCTAGCAAAACTCCATAATCACGTTGCATGACCTGAAGAATCACCACAAAAATTGAAGTCACAAACTTTAGCCTTCAGCGTAAAACTATGGGCTGATGTCAAGAATTTTGTGTTAGGGGACAAGGTTGAGATAAAACTAGAAAATGTGTTAAAAGGACTTAAAATGGATTTGGTAGCAAGCCAAAAATGCAACTTTTTTTCATTAGACCAAGGTGCAAAAAGGGTTCAAATTGAATTATTAATTTTTGTTGGCCTAAAGTACAAATTTTCATTATACCAAAGGGGTAGAAGGGCTGAAATTAAATTATATTTTTTACGAGAGTCTAAGATTACAGTTTTCCCATTTAATCGATAGTCCCCTGACTTCTCAATTCACTGCAGAAATTTGGAAAGTAAAAAGGGGAGAAATTTACATTCTGGTCCCATCCTTTGCCAGTGCTTTCATTAGTGAACAATCTCATGTTCAAAACCTTTCTACAACTGCAACAAAAGATTATCCATTTCATTCTTCATCATCAACAACTACAAAATTCTAAAAAAAAAATGAGAATAGTGTGGAGACATGGAGTGAAACGCTTTGTTACATGTAATCGGCATCGGACTCGGTGTCTGAATCATGGAGTCCGACGAGAACGAGGAGACCAGGTCCGATTTCCGACACAATGCGGCCATCGACCTAGGAAAAAAAGGGTTAAGGTTATGATGTTTACGGTAAGAAAAAGAAGACGGTGACGATGAGAAACACTGACCTCGACGCTGGCGGAAGCTACCCTTTGGACGACGGCTCTCATAGCTCTGATTTGTGGGTTTCGGTGCTTCTTCAATGTGGAAGGAAATTTATGCTTACTTTTGGTGCATAATATGGAGGCGGAGTAGGGTGAAATTGGAAGACTACGCATTGCTCTTGTTGCGTGGCCTTTTAATTCTGTGAAATTTCGGATTCCAATTTCCGAATAAACTTTTTTTATTATGAATTTAACTTTAGCGATAATTAATTCAGATACCATTAAATTTCAAACGCTAACTTATTTTTATCGTTAAACTTTTAATTTTATCAATTTTAACATTAATATTTATTTTTAAGTACAATTATGTCGTTAATGATTTAATTGGACAATAATTGTAGTTGCGTGCCATGACACTGTTGACGTAATTGTCTCACCAAAATGATATCATTTTGATGTGACTATTTTAATGATTAAGTAAACTAAAACATTGTTTTGGAGAGTAAGCATGTCAGTCATTAACAAAGGAGTAACACAATTGTACTTAAAAGTAAACATAGTGCTAAAATTAATAAAATTGAATGTTTAATGATATAAACGAGTTAACGCTCAAAGTTTATTGCATCTGAAGTAGTTTTCCCTTATCTTAAATAATTTTTATTCCATAATATTTAATAATAAATGATAAAAGATTAATTGGTTATAACATTATTTAAATTATTAATAAATGAATTATAATCTAATATAGGAACATGCTAAAGGTATATATTTTTCAAAATAATATACATAAATTTATTTTTGTAATAATATGAAGTGATTAAAAGATAGTGTCCGTTTATAAATTTTTTTAATTAATTTACGATGTGTATACACTCTGTAGATATAACTATTCAACTTAAGAGATCTTAGGAGAACAGCATTTCATTTAACTATTTAGGACACTTGATGAGTTCGTATTTAGTTTTAATTAAAGTTTACCTATTAATTTTGAAATGAAATTATTTCTTCTTATGTTATTGTGGCCACTGGCCTATGGGCTTCGATATAGTTACATGCTCCTAAACAACGGATCTTCAGGCCCAAATACTTAAACACAGTCGTTTGATGAATGAAAAATTGGGGTATAAAATAACGGAATCGAGAAGGTCCGTTGAACTAAAATAACCTGCTATATTTTCTCTTAAATGTACAAAAAGTGCCCAACGTATTCTCGTTTTTCTAATTTGGTATCTAACGTTTTTTTCGTTCAAGTTTGGTGTCAAACGTTTCATTCCGTTACTTAAAATGGGTTATGTCGTGACGTACCGTTAGTTTTTTCCGTTAAGTGACACGTGTCACAATCTAGTAATTTTAAAAATTTGTTTTAAAAAATATTATTATATTTAAAAAAAAATCCTTATTTCTTTTAAATTACAAAAAAGCCCAAATCCTAACACCGAAGCTTACCCACGGCGGCGGACGACGATAATGGCGAGTACGATGTGACCCAACGGTTGGGTTTTGAGCGGACGGTGACGAAGAAGCTAAATATGGTGGCGGTGAGGCGAACGGAGGTCCGAGGCGGCCGTAATCATCCAAAATACGAGGTGTTGGGGGTGGGTTTTTGTTGGGATTTTGCGGAAGCTCGAATTGACAACTGGAAGGGTTCGCCAAGAGGGGTTGAATTGATTTTTGTGTTTAGGGAGTAAGGAGATTGAAAGATAGAAAATTACACAGCGATTTATAGTGGTTCGACTTCTCAACCAAGTCTACATCCACTACCTTAGCTCCTCACCAATGATTTTCTAACAAATTCACTAATTTGTTATTTCTTTTTACAGGACAAAGAGATAACCTTTACAACTCCCTAGTGGTACTGTTCACACAGTATCGGTACTATTCATACAGTATCGGTACTATTTATACAATACAATAATATTCATAAAAACATTTTTGTATTCAATTCCAAAATGGACTTTGAATTATTTTTGTAAACTTTGAAAACTTTGAATAAATTCAATTCAAGTCCAAAAACATTTTGCTTTTAAATTTGTTATATCGAAACATAATTCAACAGTTTTCGACGAAACTTCAAGGGCTCGATTCTGACGAACGACGATATCTATCCATGAATTGTTTTTGGGGTTGAGATGATGGTGACAAGGAAGCTAACTATGGTTGCGGTGAGGCGAACGAAAGTCAGAGACGGCCAAAATCGTCCAAAATCCGAGGCATCGGGGTAGGTGTTCGGCAAAATTTCAAGGACTTGAATCTGGCGAACAGTGACGATTATCCACAAATTGTTTTAGGGTTTGATCATGGCGGCGAGACGCTTCGATTGGACTGGACGGAGACACGCACGGACGAACGACAGCGGCGATCGGCGTTGGTAAATGGTAAACGTTATTGTTGCATCACAAAAAAAAATATCAATAATTAAGCAATTTATACGTACTCTTATTCGTGGAGTTTTTAAAACTTTTTTTTAGCACAATTCATATTTCTATAAAAGTAAATAAAATCTTGAAATTTGACCAATCGGTAAAAACTGTGCACTTTTACTATATTTTGCCATGTAGAAATATTATTTTATAGGAGGACCAATTTGGTATAATACAGATTATAGAGTACCTTTTAGGGATAAGACTATTTTTTGTTTTGTTTTTAGTGATCCCATAGTAAACGGGTGAAACCAGATGCAATCTCGCTTTGTTGCAACTGGATTGAAATTTCTTCCAAAAAATTTAAAAATTAAAAATTATACATTTTTAAAAAACACATTAATTTTGAAATAATCCCAAAACTTTAAAAACTTTCATTTCAACTCCTAAACCCACATCAAAAGTCACCGTTGCTCATCCGTGCGTGTCACCGCCCATCCCAATCGAAGCGCCTCACGCCATGATCAAATCCCCAAAATCTATTCGTGGATAACTGTCGTTGTTCGCCGAAATCGAGCTCTTGAATTTTCGCCGAAAACCCACCCCGACGCCTCGGATTTTGGACGATTCACCGCCACCATATTTAGCTTCCTCGTCGCCGTCCAATCAAAACCAAACCGGTGGGTCACCGTTCTCATCGATCGTCGCCGTGCGTAAGCTTCGATATTAAGATTTGGGTTTTTTGTAATTTAAAAGAAATAAAGATTTTTTTAATAAATATAATAATATTTATTTTTAAAAATAAAATTTTAATAATTATAATAAATACTATTAAAGTTATTATTCAATTTCGAATTTTTCGTCATGTTTTAAATATGTTCATCATCACGTAAGCTGACTTATGATTAAATTTTTTAATAATATTTTTTATAACTATTAATAATGATCTAATTATTTTAACATTTCTACTACAAATACTAAATCAATACTATTAAAATTATAATAATGATTCGAAAGGTAAAATGTAACTAAGAATGTTATATATAGTAAATTAAAGCTATGATTAAAAAAAAATAAAATAATTACTAAAAATATTATTAATTATAATAAATACTATTAAACTTATTATTCAATTTCAATTTTTTTGTCATTTTTAAATATGTTCATCATCACATGAGCTAACTTGTGATTAAATTTATTAAAAATACTTTTTATAACTAAGAATAATTATTCATAAGGTAAAATGTAACTAATAATATTATGAAACTGATATTTACATAACAATAAATTATAAAATACTTTAAATAAAATATTTTCACTCTTACTTGAGAGTTTATTCCGACAACTTGATTTAAAAAAAATCTTTAGAAACTTCTTACTCACTCTTTTACCTGCAAAAGAACCCAACATATTAAAAATAATATTTTTAATTAAATAATACGAGAACAGAGAAATTATATATAAGTTTTTCGAATAATACTTACCGTACAAAAAAATTCGTTCAAAATTTTAGCATGGGAATTAGTTGTATGGGGAAGGAAATATTTTGACCGGACGTTGGCTTTAAAATCAATGTCATGCAAGGACATGCAGAGGGTGATGAGAAGACGTCATGCAGTTCTGGAGCCTTCCCCCGTAGGCCTGAAGACTCTGTGTAATCTTGGAGACTTCCCCAAGCTTAAAGATGCCATGCAATCCTGGAGTCTTCAAGTTAGGCTTGAAGATGTCGTGCACTCCTTAGGGCTTCTGAAGACTCGTGGAACACGTGGTATTTTTTACTGTTACTATAGAATTTACCCTAGATGGAGAAATAATCTCCGAGTTGGATTATTCTGGGAATTTTTCCCCCACAACATTTTCTCAACCATTTTGCTAGAAATTGAGGTATACTATAAAGAAATTTGTAGTTAAAATTTTTCAATTTATTTTATTTTATTTATAAGCTAACTTGAATTTTAAATAAATAAGACTCAAATTCCAGTCAAGATGTATAATGATATTTTAAATTCACTTGATTCATTCATTCTTCCGACGATAAACTTGATAATGATCCTTACTAAAGTATTTTAAAATTATATACCTATATGGTTATCCGTCAAATTATTGCAAAATGGCTGAAATAATGATGTGGTGGCATTGAATTCTTTGTAAGGTAGCATTTGCATTTTTATAAACGGACTTAAGTGGAGTGGTTGGATTAGCTGTGTGCTTTAAAATCTCGGCGTCCACCTCCTTAATTTGACTTGATCTCCATAATCATCCCATTCATTTTACCTGTTCTTCTTTGCTCCAGATACAGAATAGAGCTTCTCCATGAAAAAGTTTCAGTTCACAGTAGCTATTCTTTTACTCACCTTAACCATCAGTAATGGAAGTAGTGGTTCCGTTAAAAAGAAAGCCGGTCTTGTCTCCGATGGCATGGATCGAACAACGGAATCTTCGGTTTTCGAACTTCATCTTCATAGGACGACGACGGTGACCTGTGAGCCGACTTATGGCTTCTTACCTTGCACAACAAAGCCATGGGGCCAGCTGTTCCTTTTGGTGGTTTATGAGTATCTATTATCCCCCTCGAAACATTTCATTTCCAGCGGCTCTAATATCTTCTTTCAAATGTTCGGAACTGGTATTTTTGGTGCCAGTTTGTTCAACGTTCTCGGCATCTTCCCACAAGTTATCTTGGTTCTAGTTAATGGAGTTTCAGCAAGTGAAGAAACTGCTCAAACAAAGGAAACAATCTCCATGGCAATACTCGCAGGATCAACCATTATGATGCTTACATTAATCTGGGCCTCTGTCATTGCTTTTGGCAGCTATGATCTTTCAAACAACAAGCCCTTTAGTTTAACTGGTTCCTCCTTTCTTGAATATACTCTATAATCAAAGAACTTTGATGGGTTATTTTTTTTTTTCATATCTGAGCAGGCTATGGAGTGAGAACCGATCCTGAAACTAAGTACAGTGCAATGATCATGCTTCTATCCATGATTCCATTTCTGATTCTTCAGCTGGCGAAAATTCTAAGTTCTGGTGCCACTGCAAGGCGTGCCATTGTCCTGATTTCTCTTCTCACTTCATTTGTTTTGCTAGCCGGTTACTGCACTTATCAGGTACGTGTGGATTTTTATAATTGATGTAGAAATGCAGATGAGATGAGAGTTTGGAAAAATGATTGCAGGTCTTTGAGCCCTGGATTCAGAATAGGAGACTTGAATATTTGATGCGTAAATATATAGAGAGGAACTTGTAAAATCATGTAAGAGTTTGATACCTCTGGTGATTCTAATATAAAGGAAACTGAATTCGTTAGACGAATCTCAAATTGGCTTAACAAGGCAAATAACGATGTAAAAACTGTTTCGCACTCGAGCCAGGGGCAAGGATAATCAACCATGGTGGAATTACATCAAAGCTGCTTTTCTCGTCACTTTGGGGACTACCGCTACGATCATGCTCTCGAAGCCTCTGGTTGCGGCACTCGTCGAATTCTCGACGTCGGCCAACGTCCCGTTGTTCTTGGTTTCGTACGTTGTGGTGCCCTTGGCGTTGCATTTCAGACAAGGATTCAGGGCCGTGTCTTCGGCTAGACAAAAGACCGATCAGGCCGCCTCTCTAACGTTTTCAGAGGTGTATGGTGAGGTGTTCATGAACAATGTGATGGGTTTGGGGACCTTCTTGGTGCCTATATATGTACGAGGTATTTCATGGGGTGTGTCGGCAGAAGTTGTGGTGGTTTTACTTGTTTGCACAACGATGGGAGTTTTGGCCACTTTCAGAACCAAATTCCAGTTCTGGACATGTATTTTGGTGTATATGTTGTACCCCATGTCTTTGCTGCTACTTTATGTCCTCACCAATGTCTTGGGATGGTCTTAATCTTGCAAAGATTGGACAAATTTATGAACTGTGGTAGGGTCAAAAACTCAAAATTAACCCTCAATATTTGTTCGAATGATATTTTATTTCTTATTGTTTTATTTGGAACACTTTTGATCTTTAATATTATTGACTAACTCTTAAAGCTTGTTATCGATCTAATATTTTCATATATATTAAATTGTTGATGTGTCACATGTGTTATCACTCAAAATGATGGCCTGGTATGTGCAACATCACTTAAAAATGATAACATGACATATATTATATTAGAAATTAAGCACATGCAAAAATATCACGTTGCTAATATGAATAGAAATTGTTAGTCAATTAATTTCATTCAATATGGGTCGTATTGATGAAAAAATTAAAACATTAGAGTTAAAAATTCTTCAAGAAAATAAAAATTAAAATAATTATTTAAATAAACATTAGGTTAATTTTGACATTATGAATTTTTTTTTCAGAAGCGAGAAGGAATTATTTCATTCAAAAGATTACAACACCAGAAACATTAAGCATCAACCATGGCTGAAAAACATGACAGAAAACATGCATGACATACCATACAAACACGAGAAAACACGTAAATAAACACTCCCAAAACACAGGAAAGAAACAATTGCAGGTAGCACTCATGCAAGTTTATTTGTGAAGTTTTTAACTTCAATTTTTGGTAGCCTTATGATCTTCTTCAGTCTTGTTTCCATGGCACCCTGGAATCTTCTCCTTGATTTTCTCCAAGATCCCTATCTCCTTCGGCTCACCTTCAGAAGAATGGGCACCGTCTTCTTCGGCTTTCTTATTCTGACCAGGGACAGGGAGTTTCTCTTTTATCTTCTCCAAAAACCCTTTCTTTTCCTTTGGGTTCTCGGTTGATACCGATGCATCTTTATGCTCCGTTGCATCTTTGTGGCCAGCAATCTTTTCTTTGATTTTCTCCTTCAACCCTTTCTTCTTCTTTCTCTTCACACCATCTTCACCTATCTCTTCTTCATCACTAGACTGCAACAGAGAAGAGTTAATGAAATTAGGATCCTTAGCAAAAATGCCATTAATGTATGGTTTTCTGTGCTTAATTAGAGAAGCTTACTGAGCTAGAGTTGCTGTTTGAACGATGGAGTACTTTTCCCATAAGACTTGGCTTCTCTTCTTTCTTTCCATCGTCTTGTTCATCTTTCTGTTTCATGAAATCGAACATACCACCATCTTTTGTTTCCTTTTCTTCCTTGTTGTGATCTCCCTCACCATGATGATTTCCCATATCGTTGGAATTAGTTGGCAGAATAATACGAGTAATATACGAGCTCGAAATGAACACTTTAGCTGTTGGATATTGCTTTACCTCGACAAAGATGATGTGGTATTTATAGGGGAAGGAAATGAAAACCAATTCAAATTATCGTGGCTTACACTAAAACTGTCGGCTCTCGGAGGAAGATAACCGAGGTGGTCGGTCCACACTAATCAAAAGATGCCGCCCCGGTCTCCGATGTGGTCGGTTATTTTTGGTTTTGGTTTTTTTAAAGAAAAGATAGTGTTCCAAATCCTAATATGCTATACTAATTAGCCTTTACTTGAATTGAAATGCTTAATCAGTAATAAAACATTTCAACTTAGGATTTTATTATTAATTACCGGCATTTGATGTACATTTGATTCCCCTCTCACCATGCAACTCGTGTTTTCAAGTACAACTCTGTGTTGGCCGACGCTATTTCTCGGGTTTAATAAATTAATATTACAAATAAATATCAGTGACAGTGAAACTATGTAACCTAATCGAGTTTAATCGATTCAGTATATATATATATCAATACAATAAAATAATCTATAGAATCAATGGAGTTAGTTCAAGCGTTAAGTAGTTTAATATTATTAAAATAAGTATCGAATTCGAAGCATTACATATGAAAAAATAACGAAAAATTCACTCACTAAAATTAAATATACGACAAAAAAAAAGGTAATCTATACAATTTTAAATTAAAAATTATTAATTCATAACAAAATATGAATAATACGCTTGCGGGAACAATTATAAGAGATTTTTGGAAAAATTATGCATGAGGTTTTTTTTGGAAAGGTTGTGATATTTCAGCTAGAGGGGCTAGAGTGAGTTGGAGTCAGGTTTGTTCTTTAAGATCAGAGGGTGGTCTGGGCTTGAGGAAACTTTCTGACTGGAGTAGGGCATGCTGCTTCATGCTCATCAGGAAAATTCTAGCTTATGAGGTCTCTTTGTGGATTGCTTGGCTCAAATCTTATTGTTTCAAGGCTATGGATTTTTGGATAGTTGATTGTAAGCCTCATTTTAGCTAGATCCTAAGAAAGCTGGTGAAAATGAGGGAGGAGGCTTGGGGACTTTTTGATTCTGCTGTTGTTTTGTCTCAGATTAGAGGTGCATGGATATGGGACCATATCCGTGAGAGGAGGGACAAGGTTGAATGGCACAAATTGATTTGGTTTCCTGCTCATGTCCCAAAATTTTCCATTGTGGCTTGGATGGTGATTCTGGATAGGTTTCCTACAAAGGATAGGTTAGCCAGATTTGGAATTCAGGTTGATCATATCTGTGGTTTGTGTGGAGTTGAGCTGGAATCTCGAAATCACTTGTTTTTAGAATGTTCTTTCGCCCGAGAAGTTTGGGATGTAATCTTGCAGACTTGTGGTCTTCATAACCAGCCGATTCTTTGCTGGGATGATTCTTTGCACTGGCTGGCCTTGAATTTGAGGGGTAAATCCCTTCTTGTTTGTATCCTAAAGCTTGCTTGGACTGGTTTTGTCTATTTTCTTTGGGAGGAACGTAATCATAGGTTGTTTAGAGGTGTTAATCGTTCGGTTGATGCAATTGTTCATAAAATTAGAGATTCTATAAGAATTAAATTGTATAGATGCAGTATGAACTTAATTGATGATGTAAATAGGAGGCTATGTCTAGATTGGGATTTGTCTTAGTGTTATATTGTTCTTTGTAGCAGCTTGCTGCTCCTTTTGGATGAATAAAATCTTTACTTATCAAAAAAAAAACAATTATAAGAGATTTATGATTAGAAAATTAACTTCGAAAAATATTTACAAAAAATGTTTAAAATATAGTAAATGAATAAATATATATATATATATATATATATATATATATATATACATATATAATATTAATATTAATAAAAAATTTAAATATCGGAAGAAAAAAAACTTTTCAATGTTAATTGAAAGCCACTTTTCACATACCAATCTAATATCTATCTGTTAGACACACCACATAGGCAGAGACCTCCAAACCCTTACAGAAACTTTTGGTAACCCAGATTCTTTATTCAGATTTCATCTAAATGGCATGAACGAATTTACATCATAAGTTAAAGTAATTGATCCCAATGGTTACGAGTTCGAACATTAACGACTATAAGGATGATTGAACGTTCATTGTCAAATGATTGAACGTTCATTGTCAAATGATTGGAAGTACTTAGAACATATACTACTTTGTAATCACCTTTAACTTAATAAAAAAAATCAACTAAATAGTGGTTTTATGTACTAATAATTGAATTCTAATTTATTTTTATTTGCTTTCTTTTCATTAAATTTTTTTTAATTTAGTCGCTTTGTATAACCCTTGTTTTACCATGTGTGACAAATATGATAAAAAATACTAAATTTATTTTATCCGGATTGGTCTAGTGGGATAAAGCACTAGGTCTTTAAGTAAGGTCAGATATTCGAATCCGAGCGTTTGTGAATGGAGCAAACTAGGTTGAGAGGGTCGCCCTCGTCTCTGCAGTATTCGATCTGGATTAGTCGGTCAACAGATCGTATACCAATGATTAATTAAAAAAAAAGTTAATTGGGAAACTATACGCCAATCCCTGAACATATAGTTTGTAGACTTAAAGTATCTAATTACTGATGTGTGAAAACGATTTATTTTTTCGTTTTTTAGAATTAAAACATTTGAAACGAACTCATAAAATAGAAATATAGGACTAAACTATAACATTTCACTAGATTAATCTATAATATCCATAAAACATAATCAGTCTAGTACCTAGCATAATATATAAACCTAATATTGTTTTGAGCACTACGTTTCCCTAATTAAAGAGGGCATTACACGACATGCACCAGTTTAGAGCTTTAGGTTAAGGTCAATAAACTCCCCTGTTTTTTCATTACAACGAATCTCAGTTTTAAGACAAAGCGAGGCATCTGCTGAAGTACTACCCCTTTGCAGATCTTCTGGTTGTAATAAGAAGCTAAAGAAGCCCTTGTTGTAAACTGGTACATCTGATTCTGATTCTGATGATGGCCTTTGCAGTAAAGTCCCCTCGGTTTTTTCCTGTGAAATTCATGCAAGAAAAAAGAAAACACGGTTTTTCAAAGAGAACCCAAAAAAGGAAATTCAAAGAGAACAGAAACGCGTTGAACTATCTTACTTGGAAAGGCAATTGCTTGATGAATTTGGACAAGTCTGGTTGACAATTTTGAATAGTTGTTGGACGACTGGAATTGCCACTAGGGTTCCCTTGGTCACTGGCACTTGTTCTCACTTTCAGCTCCAATGGGCTCGTTGCAAATGGCATTGGGTCTCTGATAATGGCGAAAGCAAACAAAAAACAATGAATGTAAGCTAATATTAATGGAAAAACTGAAAATATAAGGCTATGAAGCTAACCGGGGTATTCCGAAGTTGAAGACTCCATTGTAGCTAGACGAAGATAAAGGATCGAGACTGGAAACCTGTGGGTGGATAGGTTGAAACGGCATTCGAGGAGGCGCCGGCATCCAGTTCTCGACGGAGAAACTAGGCCTTGGCCGCTTGGTGCCGATTATCTAATTCCAATTAAGCAAATTTGAGCGAAAAGAACATGATAATGCAAAAGAAAGTGATACATTTTATGTATATTTTAACAAGAAGGAAAGGAAAGGAATCCACAGTATATTTCTGGGTTTATTAATTTGCATGCACTTGCCTTGTCTTCCTCGGGAAACAGTGTGGATATGTAGTTGTGAGGACTAGGTTTTTGGTTTGAAGGGGGCTCTACGTGATGATACACCCCTGCAGATGATGATGGGGTTGTTGTTGTTGTTGCAGACAATGGAAAAAGATCCATCTGTTTTAAAAAACATGCACGTCAATGTCCAAAGAACAGTAGAAACATAATCACAAATTTAATAACGAAACAAAAATGGATTTTTACCATTGAAAGATGATTCTTCTGCAAAATGGGAGGAGGAACAGATCCGTTTGAAACAAGCAGCGGAAATGAGAAACCAGTAGCCATTTTAGGAGTTTCCTCGTGTTTCCATGCCGAGGATGAGCCCCAAGATATCGGCAACAAGCTTTGTTCCGGCAAGAACACGCTTGATCCGCCGATATAGACTCCTTTACTACGACCATTGGCGCCTAACTGTGAACTTCCATTTCCATTACCGTGAAAGGCAGTGACCGGAAGTGAGGGAACTAACGAAGACGACGACGAAGAAGAACAGATTCCTCCAATAATAACACCATCTTTCTGCTCTTGTTCACGCAATATCTTCTCCAGTTCAGCCACACCAGGCCCTCGTTTAGGGATTCTTTGTTTCTTCGCCTTCCTGAAACCAGAACTTTCATGGTCGTGATGATAATCACCTACGCCACTCGCATTCGCCATGCCTCGAAACACCAGAATATAGATGATCAACAGAGAGGAAATCCCAAGTAATTTTTCAAGATCAGAAATCTAAAAGAAGAAACAGAAATCATTCAAAAAGAAGAAACCGGGGGCATATATATATATAAGAAAAATTGAAAATCCCAAAAGGTGGAGTTGAAAGAGGCTACCTATGCGTAATGAAGAAGTGGCATTAAGGAAAGTCCGCCCTTGTTTTAAGCAGATAATAGATCTTAGAAAGAGAAAACCCAAACTATATACTATGTTAGAAAAACTTGAAATTTATTACTTCGATTTTCCGAGATTTTATGAGGAAAAATGTCTGAAAAGAAAGAAAAAGTAACTTAAAACCTAGCAATCATCGAAACTTTTGTTTGCTTTCATTTTGGTCCCTCTATTTTGATAATTTTTTTCTTTTAATTCCCACCTGTCAATGTATAGTAGTGTGAACATGAAACTTTGCTATTTGTATAGGAAGGTCCATGGCTGATGTGTCCCAGAATCTCTGAAAATCTTTGCCATTTCTATGCGCAGTTGTTAAATGCCACACCCCCACTTTAGTGTAATATATTTGCATGGAATTTAAATGAGTTTGTTATGGCCCCACTCAAATAATAATAAAGACATTTACAGGTATTTTTTGGACCCCACTCTTGCTATGTGTTGAAGCATTACCTCCTATGTTTTGAATGGTCTAATTCTTCTTTTAGTCCTTAGACTCTCAGCTTCTTTAAAATTTAGTTTCTTTACTTTTGATTCTAGGAATACAGTTCCTTTGTTTTTTCGATTTAATAATTGAAGTTCAATTTGTAACAACGTCAAAATGTTTTTATTAAACTTAGGTAGTGAGAACTTTTAACATGATCAATTTTAAAGCAATGTGAAAATATCGACTATATTAACAATTTTATTATTAATTGGACTTCATTTATTTAGTCAAAATAGCATAATGACTAAATTTAATGGTTAGTAGCAGAGAAATTAAATTTTAGAGGTACAGAGACTAGAAGGACCGAGAGCATAATTCGGCCAAACCATATGATTCCCCCATCAGCAAATGTGTGAATTTAGACAAAAATAACACGAATTTAAAGCACTTGGATCCATATTCATAATAAATTACTTTATTTCTCTATATTCACTTTTCTAAATTCCGCTACAATATTTGCAAATTTATATAATTTAAGAAACTTTTGTTCAAAGATAATCCCATTAACTAGTGAGGATTTAAAAAATTAAGAAAAAAAAGCTTCACTAATCACTAATCACTAATCAGGAATGGGCATGGGTCAGGTTGGGTCGACTTTTTTAGTCCACCCGACTCGACTTGACCCGAAAACAAGGAATCTTCCACCCGAGATTTGACCCGACTTGACCAAAACAAGATTTCACCCGACCCGACCCAATATATAACTTAAAAACCCGACCCGAAATAATAATAAAAAAGTATTTTTATTCAATAAAAATAGTGACTTAATTAAAAAAATAACATATAGAGGGGTATAGTGTAATTATTCATAAATATATAAAATAAAATTATATAATTTTCTGGGTCGGGTACTTTCACCCCAAATCCGGACCTGACTTGACTTGAACATCACATTAAAAAACCCGACCCGAACTTGTCAGTTCGGGTCCCATGCTCATTCCTATCACTAATCATGGCATGGGAATGACATTTGTAAATTTGTGGTAATAAATGAAATAACACAAAAGGAAAACACCAGGCTGGCTTACTTAATAGAAAAAAAAAGCATCTTTGGTGTCAAGATTAGGTCATTAATTAACCCAACAAATGTGAGCTTAAGACCAAATCTGAGAATCAATTAATGTCCAAAATTAGAATGTTTTGCCTTAAAATCTTATTTGTCTCATTTCTTGCTTTTTTTTACCACATTAAATTATCAACTGTGGTTGAAATTTGTGGCAAATGCAATGTAGTTGGTCACATGGGTTAGGGAGAACGTTATCTTTTGTCATTATGAAGGAGGATCTTCATGGCATCATGAAATGTTTTTGGTGCAAACAAAGGCAGAGCATAAGGTTTTGATATTAACTAAATATATAATTAGTTCCATTTATGTGTGTTCTTATTTGATTTAAATTATTGGCAGGGTAGAAGAGGGTCAAATTACAAATCAAATCCAATGTTTATTTTCTAATCTACTCTTAATTTGGATCTACGTAATATTAAAAAAATAAATTCATCTTAATTAAGAAATTAAATTTGATTTGATTCGAATTTAAGTATTTTGTTAAGTATTTGATATTTAAATCTTGTTAAGATCTCGTACTAATTGATTATTACTCATACCCTAATATCAAAGGATTTAATACCAAATAGAACCGAAAGATTAATATTTATAACAAAGATGTTATTTTAGTTGTGAAAAGTAAATAACAATTAATGAGTTTATTTAGGGTTGTCTATTTCATTTTGTTTTAGTAATTTTTTGGCTTGTAAATTGAGATAATTGATACTTATTCCTCTTTAGGATAAGATGATGATGATTGTCCCTTGTTCTCGTATGTAATGGGGTAAGGGGATGTAAGATAGTAGGCTGCCCCCAACACCAGGTTGAGAGCAGCTTCCGTAGAAAACTTCCGAATTATGAAATATACCCTCCATAGGACTTGATCCCACGACCTCAAGGTTAATAACCTTGTGCTCTACCAACTGAGCTAGATAGTCATCCTGGTTATAAAATATAATTATTTGTGTATATATAAAATAGTGTTATGTTAATGGTTATATAAGTGGCTTGTAAAAAGTGAATTAAAATTTGATGTATATAATTATATAAATTAAAGTTCATAATCATATGTCACTTCATATTAATGTCCAAAATCGTGCTTTGTCAAACATGGTCCCATAACTCGGTTAGAGCGTTGGTCTTATGAGCCGAAGGTCGCAGATTTGAGCCCCACCGGGACCAACTTTAGGTCCATGTTCATACTAACCAATTGTCGACCTGATCATGGCCTCATCAACTTCTGTTCCGAATGGCGGGTCATCTTCATTTCCATTGTGGAGGCTGTTAAGCTTTTTAGCTCAGCAGCTGCATCATTACAACCCCCCAGTGAGTTACTCGGACGACAGCAAAAGAGCTGCATTGTGTGGATTTACGTGTCATACTAACCAAAAGAGCTTTAAGAACGTCCACTCATTCGGGTCAGTTTGAATTGTGTGCTAGAATGAGTTATAGTATAATGGTTTATCGTGAATCGAGATGAATTTGCCATACATTGTGTACTTTGTTGCAGGGGAAGTTTCATTGCCAGGTGGGAAAAAGCAAAGAAAGGGCCAAAGACATGGCGATGCAGCGATTAGAGAGGCTAAAGAAGAGATTGGTTTGGACCCTTCACTTGTGAACGTTGTAATTGTTCTTGAACCATTTTTTCCCCAAGGTATTGAAATATTTATCTTATAAGCTCTTTTAGCATCTTCTTCAACCATTCATCTGTATGGTAAATGGCATTGCTGCAATTTACATTGTATTCTGCTCCGGCTTTCAGCTATTTACAGATTTATGGTCTTTTGTGCAGCATCTCCTTAGAGTAGTTCCAGTTATCGGCATACTGTATGTTGTGTTCGACGCTCCACTAGGTTTTTTTCTCTTTATCTCGTTCTGCTGAAGTGGATGTTGTGTTCGACCACTGGCTTTCCTGGAACAGAGTCCCAAGTACGACGAATTTCTAAGAGATGTGAACAAAATTACTGTTATGCGTTGAATAAAGTTGCCTTGTATTGCAAATGTATGTAATACAAGTCCAAAAATCTAATAATCCATCCGAAAACCTAAACAGAGTATTCATTCAAAGCAATCAATCCTTCGTTTTACTCTTCTTTCACATGATTAGATGAGACCATGAATCTACATTGATCTGAATATCTCATAATGTTTGATTGTATGGAAAGATAACACGACAAAACAATTTCGAAGCAACTAAAGACGTTTAGAAAAATGACTTTTGTATGCATATCTCAGCCAAAAATCTCGTAGAATTTCTCGATAACAAGTAAACCGGAGTCGATAGACTCCAAAGGATCCTTACGAAGACGGTGTCTCAAGCAGTTAGGGATGACGGTGGCAATATCTTCTGCAGTGACTTTATCTCTTCCCTTGAGAGCTGCAAGAGCTTTTGCAGCTCTGTTGGTGACA